GGCAGCATTCCAAAGCCCCGGCGTTCCAGCCAGGGACAAGAGGGGGCTCCTGGGGTCGGGGGGGGGGAGGCTGGTGGAGGATTGATGTGAGGCGGGAGAGGCAGTGGGGGGTCTGTGGGGGGCAGGGCACATAGGGATGGTCCCAATTTAAGGAAGCTGGTTAGCCTCACAGTTTCCGTTGTGGTCAGGGCCCCACAACTCTTGGATGTGGGCCTGAGGCGTGTCCCCCCTCCCCCACGCGAAAGCATTGGGACAAAGTCGAGGCAGGCGCCGAGGGCCGGTTTTACAGCTGAACTGGCCCCTCTTGTGGCCATCGGCAGCAATGACAGGACTTTCAGCCCAGCCTGGCCTGCTTTGCTCCCCTGCGTTTCGGCAGGTCCCGGGGCAACCGAGGGCTGGTCCTTGGGCCGGAGCGTACGAAGGAATGGGGTTTAAAGGAGCCTGTCCGTGTCTCCGTCTCCTCCCGTCTCACCCGAAGGCTCGGCCGCGCCGGCTTTGGGCCAGGCTTTGCAGCGCCCCTTCATGTTGTCAAGAACAAGCGCAATCCGGGAGGAAGTTGACGGGCACTTTGTTCACGGGACGTCAGTGGGGCGGGCTCTCGCCCCGTGTGAGTGTGCAGCCCACGGCACCGTTTTCAGACGGGGGGTAAAGTCGTTTTCGGTGCGCGAGAACTTCTCAAGCCATTACAATGGACTTTGGCTCCGGATTGCTCAATCGCCTGGAGCTGAAGGTGTCACGGTGGCAGGCCGCCGTCTCCCCTGGGAGCCCACCATGCGAGAAGGCAGAGGCACATTGCTGGTCGGTATGATCCCTTAGTCTGTCCGCCGGAGGGGGTGGGAGGGGTTGGTCCCAGGATGCAGGTGAGAACAGTTGCTGTAATATGTAAGGGCCAGGGACCCCCGAATTACTTCAGCCTTTGGTTCTTTCAGGAGGTGTTTGTGGGCATCGTTCCCGCTAAGGGGCACACCTGCACGGCCACGCACAAAAATTCTTGCCCCTCCCACCTCCATGGCCTCTGGAGAGCCATGCTGCCTGCAGCTGCTTCACTGGGTGGGGAGGGGGGGCTGTTCTGTCATCTGTGGCCGGTAATGGGACCTGCAGCATGGCAGGGTGGGGGAAGAGGGGAAGTAGGGTCTGCTCCAGCATGCTGGGGGAGTCGCACG